TTCTATTCTCTTCATCTCCTTTCCACCTCACCTCAATCCTATCACTCTCTAGTTGAAATTCATTGATGTCTGTCAACTGATGGCCCAATTTTGTTCTCATAATAATTATGAGCTTATCCCCTTTTATTCTTCCATTGTCAATTAAGTGGGGTTCTAGGAAGGAGAGCAAGTATATTTACATGGCCAGTTTCCATATGGAACAGGACAGTTCCTTTCTTTCCCTTAATCCTTTGCATTCTGGTTCTCACCATAAGAATTCTACTTAAACTGCTCTCTCAAAGATATTTCAAAGAAATGTAGTTTTTCATTCCCTCCTTCCCCATAAATCATGTTTACCTTGCATCCTAAGGCTAAAAGCGTATTGTCCCAGAGAAAAAGGTCAGTAGAACCTTCAAGAAAGCAGTCCACAGGATAGGGAAGAGATGATACAGAGTAAATTCCCAGAAGACATGACCTGGAAGTAGAGTATTTTGGCAGGGAGAAGACTGCACAGAGAGAGTAGGTCCCATGCTGGAGTAAGAGATGGTAGTGTTAAAAGGCTATGGAATCCCAAAAGCTATTGAAGAAGGGGGAATATTTTGTCTCAATTTCCATTTGGGACTCTTGAAGATCATCTTTGCAGGGGGGTCTCTGCATCAGCATGGAGTGGCCACAGCAAAAGAGAAATAGTGGCCTGGCTTATTTAGGCAGATGGAGTACAGATGGTGTTTCTGAGTATCCCTTGGCTCCCATGTGGTGTAGAAGGGATACAGGTGTTTCCACATTCGATATACATCAGTAGATTCCCTGCTCCCCATAATGAGAGCTCTCAGTAAATTTTACTGAGTTCAAAAAAAAAAATCTTACTATAAGGCAAGTAAAAATTGAAAATTGCAAAGAGTAGTTAAAAATAAAGTTGAAAGTGGCTGAAGGTAAGAAATTTTGGAAGAAAGAAAAAAGTTTCTAGGGCTAAAGAGGCAGACACAGAAAGACCTCTAAGGACAGCCAACTGAAGTCAAAAGCTAGCATTGCCAAGAATAAAAGACTCATTGCAGCTAGTTTTCAAGGTTTCAGAAGACCTCTAAATCCAGGCAATAACAGTACATAGGAAGAAGAGCGAAGCTTAGGGACACCAAATTTCCCAGCTTGGCTCCTTTTGATCCTTGTGATACTAATTCTCTACATTATTTGGGGAGGGTTGGGGAGGGCGATGATTCATAGAGGAGTTTGGGAATCCAACTTAGTTGCTAATATTAAGCATTTATATTTTCAGAGCTGTGTACACATCACACATCCTTATCCTTCATAGGAAACAACTAAAGCTCTGCCTAAAAGGTCACTCAGGAATGTATCCTCCCAGATTTTAAGAGCAAAACTTTGGAGGCTTGAAGAGCCCTAGATTCTAGCATAATTATTCCTGAGATAGATTAAGTTTATCTTGCTACATGACCAAGAAGAGTGGGTTGGAGAGTATAAGTTCCTCTCCTTTTTATTTATTTTGAAGACGCTCTATATATAGGGCTTATTTGCATTGGTTCTTTCTTGGACAATCCTTTATTAGACAATTCTTTTAAATTTTACATGATTCTAGCAAGAGAAAGTAAAAACAGCGTAAGAACGTTGGCTCTCTTTGAAAGCAGCAATCAGGCATGAAATTTTATTTTATGCTAATGATGACTTTATATAATGCTAATATGTTAACAATTGCTTTAATAGTTTTTTAATGAAAACATAGCAATAAAGATAAATATTTTTAAAGAAGGGAAGTAACCTATATGCTTACTATCCTACTAGGGTAACTTTTTTATTTTTGTGTATTTCCTTCTGCTTATATGGTACAACACTGTAAGCTGAAAGACACTTTGGAATTCAACTAGTCCAATTTCTTCATTTTCAGATGAGAAAATTAAGGCCCAGAGAGCTATGAGGTTAGCTCAGATTAATACTTTATTGCCTCCTTTAAAAGAAATTTTAATGCTAAGTTTAAAAAATAGTTGATAAGACATGAGTAACTCCCTAATTGACACTTTTCTCCACTGAGAATGCAACTGCAAAACAAACAATAAAAAAAAGAACAAAACAAATAACCTCTATTCTGTAATATATATAGTATTAGCCTTACCAAGATCAATGTCTGGAGAACTATAGCTGCAAAATCTGGATTCCTTAATAAAAACTTCCAGAAGTCCAGGAATTTCTAGAAAACAGATGTGAATTCATCTGTAAGGATTTGGATTGAAAGTTCACATATTGCTATGCATTGCTACTGCTGATGCAAATTGTTGATTCTGGAATGCACCCATTTTGATAAAAAAGGCAAATTATAGCTCTTAAAAAGAGCATCTAATTGAGGCTTTCTTTCTGCTGTAATTCAAATTAAAATAGCATTGAAAAGGGGAGTACTTTGTAGGGAACATGGATGGCTTTCAAAACAACTGTGTTAGAAACACTCTGGACTCACATTAGTAGAATTCTTAAAGTGCCATAGCAGGAAAAGGCCCAAAATGCAAATAGAAAACTCCCGTTCCGAAACTAGTCTGCCACTAACCAGAAATATAACCTGAGGGAAATATTTACTTTTTCTAGTTTTGTTTCCACATCAGTGAGGTTAGCCTACCTGATCTCAGAATATTTTATTTTTTTATTTTTATTGGGGAACAGTTTTTCTAGGACCCATCAGCTCTAAGTCAAGTCGTTGTTTCAATCTAGTTGTGGAAGGCACAGTTCAGCGGTCCATGCGGGGATTGAACCAGCAATCTTATTGTTATGAGCACTACCATCTAACCAACTGAGCTAACCGGCAGCCCCTCAGAATTCTTTTCCAATTATAAAATTCTATGTTTCTTTTCCCCGTCAATGTGAAAGGTATCCTGTATTTCAGTTTGTGGGAAAATCCCAGGTGTGAAGAGCTGGCTTTATTAACAAGGTCCTAATATCCTTTTGTTCTCTTATCCTTCTGAGGTAAGCCCTGGACAGAAACCTAGCACTATGCTGGCACCCCTTTCCCTCCTTATCTCCCGCCTTCATACTCTATCTGTAACAAAACCCTATTGTTTCCTCATCTGTTTCATTACTCTTTCTTCTTCATCCACACTACCAACAGTTTAGTACTGGTCCTCATATCAGAACCACAGAAACAAGTAACTGCTTTTCTATGTTCCTTTCAGAGTACAACTTGCTGTATTCTATTGAGCTTGAGTCTGTTCTATTGTTAAGATTTGCGGGAGTGAGAGTGATCCTTGAGTTCTCTCTCATGTTCTGTATTCAATCTGTTGGCAAATTCTGTTGGCTGTCTTTATAGTATGTCCAAACTCTGACCATTTCTCATCATCTCCACTGCTGCTACCCTGGTCCAAGCCAGCAATAGCTTCTGACTGATCTTCCTTTCACCCTTGTTCTCTTTCAGTCTATTCTCAACACAGCATCCAAGGTGTTCCTATGAAAACATTGTTAGCTTGTGCTCCAAGTGAAATTCCTTACAATGACGTCCTCTCGGTGCCCTAGCCATTGTTACCTATCTAACTTCATTTCCCACTACTCTCCTCCTCTGATCCAGGTACATAAATCTTTACCTTATAATACAATCTGCTAGGAACATGGCGACTTGCAGTGACTTTGCACTTGCTGTTCTTTATGCCTGGAATCCTCTTCCTCTGGGTAGTTGCATTGCCAATTTCCTCACCTTGTCAATTAAGGCCAGTGTCTCCTTCCCTGGTCATTCTATCACACCAAAGTTGCAAGCCCTCTTTTTCTTGTTTTATTTTCACTTCAGCACTTATCACTACGTAACAAAGTATGTTTTACTCGTTTTCCTTTTTTTTGTAGTCTCTCTTCCCCACAAGAGTAGGGATTCCTGTCTGTTTTGTTTATTGTTACACCTCAAGCACCTAGGACAGTGCCTAGCATATAGTAGGTGCTCAATAAATTTTTGTTGGATGTTGAATGAATTGTGAGACCTCTGTAGCACGGGAGCATAATTGCATGCAAAGGTGGAGACAGACACTAGATAAAATGTGTTTGTTCATGGCAAATGAGATTTTTGACCATCACCCTAACATTGTGTAGCAAACATGTCTTTGCCTGTTAGCTGTTTTACATCTCTTGTAAGATGTTTTTGATCTCAGGGAAAGCATTCTCCAAAATCAAAGACTTAATTTGGTCACTAAGGCTGGACCCCTTCTTATTTTCCAAATGTTACCCTGTACATTTGACAGCTCTTCTCATTTATATAGAAGGAAGGTCTATTTCAGATTTAAAAGTCCAGGTCTTGACCTTTAATGCTCAGAATCCTTAAAATTCTAAGATTGTAATATTTAACTCCAAGAAGAAACATGTGGCTACTAAGTATGATTGTGATGATTAAATAAAATATACTAACATCAAATTTATCTTAAATAAGAAGTTTTTTTCCCCCTCCGTTTTTTTCCTTTATCTGAAAGACACACTACCTGGTACACAGATTATAGATTTATACTTGTTTAATTAGTATTGGACAGATGAATGTTTTCAACAAAGAGGCATCTAGATTTTTTTTTTTTTTTTGGTGCGGCACCAGCCTGGGGTTGTGGTCCTTCAACTCTATTCTCACTCTGCGTTATGAAGGACCTGAATTTATCAACCGAAGAAACTCCAAAAGGGACGTCTGCACTCAAGATGATGACTGGAACGCGTCTCGGAGAGTCACCAGCTCCCTCAAAGTGCTGAGGTAAAAAAATCTGTGGGAATGAACAGGGAACTCCACTGCGTGAGCTCACGACGACCTCCCGCGCTCAGTCTGGCCAGCTACGTACTTGTCTTTTCCGGTCCTCGGGACCTGACTCTCGCTGAGAAGGCGTGAAGCGGCCGCTGCTCCTCCCGGCGGCTATGGGGCCAGCCCGTTAGCTGAGAGCCAGGCCCGGCGTCCCGCAGCCGGAGCCGCGCCCGGGAGCTGGGGAGGGGGAAGGGCGGTGGCGGCGCTTGCGCTGCGTCGAGTTTCCCAGAATTCCCAGCGGCCGCGGGGAAAGTTTACGGGACGTAGGCGGCGGCGGCGGCGGTGGTAGCTGTAGCGGTTACTAGGCGGTCCGCGGCGGACCATGGCCCTGGCCCAGCGTCCTTGGCCTCTCCTCACGGAGTCCACGGGCAGTGTCGCCGAGCGAGCCGACTTCCGGGAAGGAACTGACAAACGACTCAGCGGCGACCGGCGCGCTTAGCGCCCCGAACATGCGGCAGTTCCTGCGGGCGACCCCGGGCTGCGGAGAGGCGGCGGCGGCGGCGGCGGCGGCGGCGGCGGCCGTGGTGGGAAGGAGGCGGTGGCGCCGGCGGAGGTGGCGGCGGGGACGGCCGGCGCCCAGCGCGGATCCCTAGGGAGGCTGCTTGGCGCGGCCTGGAGCCTCGTCGACCAGGATGCTGTCCCGAAAGAAAACCAAAAACGAAGTGTCCAAGCCTGCCGAGGTGCAGGGGAAGTATGTGAAGAAGGAGACTTCGCCCTTGCTGCGGAGTAAGTGTCGGGGCGGGTACACCCCATACCTGTCCCGGGCGGCCGTGGCTCCCCGCACCTTTTCATTCCTACTGGTCTCTGAAATACTGTTGTTGTTGTTGTTTTAATGTCATTATGCCTGAAGTCGTGTTTGTTCTTTGAAACTGATAAGACAGTAGGAAACTTAGATCAGTCCCCCTCCTCCTCATGGCCCCCCCCCTAAAGATAACAAACTTCCCTGTCCCCTGATGGCAGAGTGTTGTGTGTTTTACTGGAAGAAAGCGGCTCTTGAGGGAAACACTTAAATTACTGGTCCCCTGATGCTATAGGAGTAAAAGTGATTAGACTGGGGCACACTTTTTCTTCTAGTAGATACGTCGAGATGAGCCTTGTGTTTGCAGACATTGCGGGGGTCACTCGCTGGTGCTGGAAGTTGTACGAACTCTTGGGTAGAAAGAATTCTGCTGGATGCAGAACACGAGGAGGTGAAAGCTGACCGTCGCTATTGTTGTAGCTGCTACCCAAAGTCTCTTCAGTCTTAGATCTCAGAATAGAGGAACCAAAATCATGTGTTTGGTGTTTTCATATATATGCATGAGAATTGCTTCAAATAAAAAACCCCAAGGACTTCAAAAGTACAAAGTACTCAGAATGATTTCTGTCATATTTTTGGAGATACTACCAAAAAGTTTTTTTATTTTATTTTAATAGGATGTATTATTTTTTGAATTTTTAATTCTTGCTGTGTGTTCAGAACATTTTGTGAGGTAAGGAGCTAATATTTTGGTACTCAAACTGCATGCTGGCCTTTTGTGTAAATTTCCTTCTTGGAAGCTTGTAGTAATCTTGTGACTTAAGCATTACCTCATTATAATTGGGAAAGCTGTTCATAGAATTCCTAGTATTTGCCCATGGTGACACAGAAAGGGGTGGAGAGCATGTTTTTCCATTATAACCGCGTCATCAGCCTTCCACATTTATTCTGTATTTGCAGTGCTTTCTTATACAATAGAACAGCAAAATAGATCAGATGGGTACATAAGTAACCTAAAACATGATTTTTAAACCTTTTTCTTTAACACTTTGTTTTTCAGTTACACATTCTCTTACGTTTTGGCTAAGTTTATAATAGCTTGCAGTTTGCAGCAAAGTTTATTAAACATTACTTGAAATCATGAAATATGTTTGCCATACCTTTAAGCAAATAACTTGATATGGTATTTTGTTTCAGTTTCATTAAGTGTTGAGCCTTGTTTATTTGGATATTAATTTCTGTCTAAGAGTTTGCATCTGAAGCTTATTAATATGGGTGCCCTCTAAAATTATTTTAAGAAATTTTTCTGGGGAACCCATCAGCTCCAGGTCAACTAGTTGTTTTGATCTAGTTGTGGAGGGCATTTTTCCAGGACCCATCAGCTCCAAGTCAAGTAGTTGTCTTCAGTCTAGTTGTAAAGGGCACAGCTCACTGGCCCATGTGAGAATCGAACCAGCAACCTTGGTGTTGTGAGCCTGCGTTCTAACCACCTGAGCTAACCAGCTGCCCCTAAAATTATTTTCTTAATGAACTAATAAGACGGCCTCCAAATCCAGTTTTCTTTAGGTTTTTAAAGTTATTTTGCCTTCTAACCAGGCATGTCTAAGCTGTTTAAGTATTCCTAAGTACTATATCCTGAAAGCCATTGTTCTACTGTTATCTTCTGTTTTGAATTATAATTCCTTGTTCTTAAAGGAGCCATAGTTTCAGGCTTGGTGTTTTTTGAACAAATTCAACTTTTGTGTGCATCTGTGAAATTTTTTAATTTTTTAATTTTCATAGCTAAATTTTTGGCTTTCCAGCTTTTGATTACTGTACTAGTGCTATATAGTTCCTGGAGTAGGAAGACCAGGTTAATACTTTTAAAATGTTTTTAAAGGAATTCACCTTTACAAGTTTGGGAATAGCGCTGTGTTCTGTTTTTATTTTTAAAATTGTGTCTGAAGAAGGATTTTTGGGAATTTTAAAAATGAAGTTAAATCAACAATACAAACTAGAATCTTAAATTATGCTGGTAACTGTGTATCCATTTCTTAGATGTTTCCTATTTTTACACTTTATTCATGAGTATTTAGTTTGTATTTCATAATTAAGCTTTTTTATATTTCATGTTATGTATGGTCATATGCAGAATACATTTGATTGTATGCATTTATAATGAAATTATAAATTTCATTAGTGTGTAAAAATATTAATCAGCCTCAATTTTAAAATACCCAAGTACTATCTGAAATCAAAAATTTAAATGGGTTTTCTTAAGTCCATTGAAATTTTGCATTTGGGGATGATAGATGTAAATGAACAACTTCTAAAAAGTGTATTTGTTACTTATTGAAGTGGTCATTTTATTCTTTGTTCCGTTATAGATCTCATGCCTTCATTCATCCGGCATGGTCCAACAATTCCAAGACGAACTGATATCTGTCTTCCAGATTCAAGCCCTAATGCCTTTTCAGCTTCTGGAGATGGAATAGTTTCAAGAAACCAGAGTTTCCTTAGAACTCCAATTCAAAGAACACCCCATGAAATAATGAGAAGAGAAAGCAACAGATTATCAGCACCTTCTTATCTTGCCAGGAGTCTAGCAGATGTCCCTAGGGAATATGGCTCTTCTCAGTCATTTTTAACAGAAGTTAATTTTGCTGTTGAAAATGGAGACTCTGGTTCCCGATATTATTATTCAGATAACTATTTTGATGGTCAGAGAAGACGCCCACTTGGAGATCGTACACATGAGGACTACAGATATTATGAATACAACCACGATCTCTTCCAAAGAATGCCACAGAATCAGGGGAGGCATGCTTCAGGTAACTTATAATTAGAACTACTACATTAGTTTAGATTTATTAACATTTAATTTAAAAGATGCTATTTTCTAGATTTTCTTGGGAATCCAACAGATATTCCTAGAGAAATACTTCTCCATTCTGCCAGTCTTACCAACCCAGCTTTCATATAATTATTAACCTATACTGGGTAAAAGAATTTTGTGTCCATTTATTTTATTAGCTCATTTTGTAAAAACTTGGTACTTACCTGTAGGTTATCTTGACTGTTAACACAGTGAACCTTGAAAACCTAGATAATTTAATGTCTACAGCTGGATTGAATCTAGGTTTAGGTTTTGTAGAACGGGTTAGGGTTTCAGAGAAACTGGACTTAAAACCTGGAAAGGGAAGGCACATAGGAAGCATTGAGCATGGTAGGTGATACCATGGCAACTGCATCATTGCTTAGCTAGAACCTGCACTGTTTCTCTTCACACTGTTTTGGTAGTTCAATAATTAGTTCCCAAGTTGGTCAAAAAGCCTTATTGTGAAATAGTTAATTGTGTGTTAAGCATGTTTTTTTTTATTGTTCTTTTTTGGAATGGGCAAAAATATTAGCCATATAGTTTTTTAAAATCTGCTTTCTATATTTGTTGACTTGGGGAGTCTTGTACAAGGAGCAGAAGAGATGGGAGAAATGCATAGTTCTGCTTTAGTCCTAAAGTACTGGAATACACCAAATAAACTGAAGCAATTTGAAAATGAGTCATTTTCATTCGATTCTTTTTTTCCTATAAGTTATAGGCTTCAAATTTTGGTAGGTTGAAAAATATATGAGACCTTTATTTTTTAGCCCACAAAATTTCAAATAAGGTGACTTGAAAACGTTTTGAAGCATGAGTATTTTGAGTGTAGAAGACATTGTATTCATTTAGTATGAATCGTATGTCTAGCATTTTCCCTGACCTTCTCGGTACTCCTTTCTGTTACCTTATTTGGCGGAACAAAACCAATATATGCAAAATAATCACAGAACAATTTGTGTATTTTGTGGTACTCCTATAATTACAGTAGGGGCGTTGGAAGAGAGTGGGCTGGAATACTTAGAGAATGATATGTGGAACTTCAGCTGTGCTTTGAGCTTGGACTTTAGATTAATGGGGGCAGACGAAGGGCATTTTAGGTGGAAAATTGGGACGAGCCCAGTGAAAACAGTAGACATAATGTAAATCCCAGGAACTGTATAGTTCTGCCTAGTTTGAAGAAATAAGATGTAAGGCGGAATGGAGATTTGTGGCCCAGCAACAGGCTACAGTACTTAAATTTGAGTCAAGCAAAAACTATTGCAGATTTCAAAAAGACAAGTCATTTTATAAAAGCACCGTTTAGAGATTAGTTTACTAGTTATACTCAGGATACATTCCTAGAGAAAAAAGGACTGCAGGCACCAGGTACCAATGACTATTGGAAAGGAAAGGGCAAATCTATGACGTTTTTGGAGGAAAAATGAGAATTATGGGTTTGGGAGAGTTAATCACTAAAGTTTTGAAAACAGGAATAGTGTGAAATGGTTGGTAAGAGCAGCTTATTTTGTGAAAGTTGACATTGGGGTCTCATTGGGACATTGAAGAGGAGAGGTTTTCTAGGCATTAGACATGGGTGAGTGTCTTT